ATTCGAGGATGCTGAAATTTTTTGGAGCATAATTTCTTGGTACCACTGCGCAGTAGTCAAGTTTAAAATTTCTTTGTGCACCATACTGGGATCCAATATTCCAAGCAAAAACTGAATCTTCCACCTTACTCTTAAATGGAAAACGCAGTTTTTACTCCGAGGAAACGATGGAGCTGGTAAAAGTGGATGTACACAATGTCGATTCCTAATATCTTAAAGGATAGACTTAACGATGTGTTTAGAGAGCCCTAACCAAGTGGTTTTTAGGCTAACAAATGTGAATGAGAATAGAAAGAGGGTTGAATTTAAACATAAAGGAATGTGCTTAATTTCTTGAATTCAGCTTTGGAACCCAGAACAGCTATTCGGGGATTTTTCCTTTTGGAATATGATAATTTTAGACTGTAATAATTTCTGGATTACTTTTGGGCATCCACCGTCTTAATTTCTAGCCAGACGTAATGCATATTAGTAGCCATCATACTGATCAACGGAATCAAAAAGACATCTGTTAGGTCTCTGTCGTCGGACCTTGGCAGGTGGCGGTCTCAGAATGCAGTCCTCACTCAAATACTCGAGTTTTTGCTTAGTTTTTTTCTAAAACTTTGCTTTATTCGAAATTTTCGTGTTTTTTATGGTTTTGCTCCAGGATAACATATGATGCAAACGGCTATTACGAAACGTTTGGGCAAGCGTTTCTGGATGCAAATCGTGTATGTGCTCGCTTCGTTGATCGTTACTATCGGGCCAGAACGCTATGTGGAGGTTTCCGAGTGCTCTCCAAAAGCACAGCCTGTGGAAATTGGACGTGAGATTTAAAAACGTTCATGACCTATGTATATAAAATTTTATATATGCATATCGGAGCTTGTTGGAGGTATGCATATTTTAGAATCAAAGATTCTGGAAGAGCTGCGTGCGGTTTTTGGGAACATCCTAGTAACATCAATAGTACTGGACTACAGTAATAATAGCTTGGAAGATTTTAATAATCTTAAAAAAGCGATACAACGCAACGTTA